CAGCAGTCAGCTATAACAATCTTTTATTTCTGGTTAAAACAACAGAGAAGCTAAGTATTTAGAAAAGAAGGACAAATAAAGCTTCAGGAATGAATATTTTCCAGCACTTGGTATGTAATAAAGATGATGTCCAAAACTAAAGGGTAACTGAGATTAAAAGGACATTTAGAATGTTTTTGCCAAAATATACCATTGTGTATGAACACATTACCATGGATCTAACTCTCTTCCACCCACTTTGTATTTCTTTCATCCTTGGGTTCTATTTCTCCTGCAGTGATGATGAATTTACATTATTCTAGCCACAGATTTCATCAGTAAGATACGTGGAGTTTATATAAAAGGAGGTTGCTGTGGTTTGAGAAAAGGATTGTCAGACTTAAGATCAGCTCTGCGACTCCTAGTTGTGAGAATGTGGTGGACAAATTAGTTATCCTCACACACCCTTATTTTTCTCATATGAAAACCATCATAGTGTTATCACAAAGATTGAATTAAATGCGTAGCAGTTGAGAGATCCTTGGGATCTTTACAATAATACCAATGTTAGTTTTTCTATAGTGATGGGAATGATAGGATTCTTTTCTCTATACTCTCAAACCTATTCACCATCTCAGGCAGACAATTATCTCATTATTTTGTAGTTACCAGCTTGTCAAGAAAAATGCATGACTCTAAAGGAGGTGGACAGCTATTTTCAGATGGGAGAGGAAGTGGGAAAAAACAAGAGATGCTGCTTTCAGAGGAGTCAGGAAAAAGCTAGGGTGTGGAATCCTGAGCAGCTTTTCTGGGTCGGGTATATATGTGGGGAGAAGCATGGTCTTTTAGAGATGAAAACACACCCAAGGTAAAATTGTGGTGGGGGAGGACTGAACACAGTCTTAATTGATAGCCAAATTTTGGTTAGAGTCAGTCCTATCCTTATTTTATTACTACTTCCATTGAAGCAGTAATTGCCATTTTAGGGTGGATTTAATGAGAGGTGATTTCTTTCTTTGTTTTTTTAAATTATGAAATAATATTGTATTTGTAACATATATTATTGAGGTTAAGACTTTGGAGCCTAACTGCCTGGGTTCAAACTCCACTGATAGCATTTATTAGATCTTTTAACTATGAACAGTTATTCAACTCTGACAAGTTATTAACTCTTCATGTATCAATTTCCTCATTTGAAAATTAAAGATAAGGTCAGCAAACCTTATAAAGGGCTCTTGAAGATGAAATGAGTTTAGGTTTATGAACTACTTCCAACAGTACTGGGCATCATAGTAGATACCTTGTAAATCTTTTTCATTATTATTAGATGCGATCTATTAGTTGTAATATGAGTTTCATTCCGTTATACCTATATTCCAATTTAATGTATAACCTTCCCAAAATATTTCTATGTGCATATAAATATATCTTTATAGCATTTTGGTTTCAAGGTTTTTGCTTTTTTACAGTAATGGTTTATATGTATATTCTTTTGCAACTTGCTTTTTCAACTTTGA